GTTCCCAGGGAAAGAAGTCTAGCATTGTAGTAATAATATGTATTGACGTACTGTATAAAATAAATGACATTTTTGTAATAATCAAATAAATAATATGTAATTACTTRTTATATATAATTTTCAGCAACACCTACCACTAAGTCCTAAACACGCCTATGAATCTGCTCGTCATAGTGTCATACTGCATTTATAATTTTGAATTATCTAATAATTAATTGTCTATTTATACAAATTGTCTTGATTTTTGTTATATTTATTTCSTGGTTCTAACCAGTAACAACGAACACTTGTTCTGACCACATTTGAGTATTGATCATTTTGTTTTAGGTTAGTTTTTAGTCTGATAACATTCTTATCATCAATTGGTGGTCCAACTTTGATTGTTTTTAATGCCAATTAGTTAAATTTACTTAAATTTCTTTGAAAAAATTGTATTTATTAACTTTTAACAGTTTAAACTTTTATAGCATATTTAGGTTCAAATAGTTGGTTAATTTTGTAACATTGTACATATCTTATAATGTCTGATTATTTAAGTAATCATGCTAGGAGTCTGACGGGTGATGTAAAGCGTAGATATTTGGACAAAATTGAAGTTTTAGGTCCAAGAGATCCCTATTTTTTAATGAAGGACTCAAGTATCATCTGGACAACTGACTCGGAGATTTTACCACCAATCACTTACCCTGACATTTTCAATTATTTAGTTTTAACCAAAAGTTTTTATACTTTAGAACAGTTTAAAGCATATAAAAGTTTGGATGCTTACAACTTTTTTGTGTCTGGTTGGGTTTTTAATGCTAAATGGCTTGCTTTAAATGATTATGTTCTTGTAGTTGCTGAGGTAAGTAAGTTTATTAATTTAAACTCATGTTCCATTCTAACATAATTAGGTTTACATCATTTACATTTTTTTTTTTGACAGTATATCAACTACACTAATTAATGTTGCCAATTCATTTTCGAATTCCTTCATTTTATACTTCATCATAATAAAACCCATTAGCACTACTCAATATTTTTCCTCTACAATGAAAATCTAAAATTAACCATAATAACAAAAATCATAAAGAAATTTGATCTTGCAAAAAAAAAAAAATGTATATATTTAATCTGTTTAAAATTAATACAAATCAGTATTTTACTACTTGCTTTGAAACTGATTTTTTTACATAGATTTACTACAGCTTACTGCTTACATTAAAAATTGTTCTTCTCATCCTGTGCTTATAGGTTGCTCATTCTCAAAGAATGAATGATGCAAAGCTTTTGCCTTGGCTTGTGCTGAAGAGTTGTGGAAGTGTTTGGGGTGCACATTGCACTTGTATGGCTGGCTTAGGTGAATGTTGTTCACATGTTGGGGCACTGCTTTTTTATTTACAATTTGTGTATCTAAAGAAATCTGAGAATAGCAAGTCAGTGACAGATGTTTCAGCTTACTGGGTAATTCCATCCAATCAACATGCTGATCCCAAAAGGATAAGCGAAATTAACTTTGACTGTCCCAAATCTATGCTTCCTCAAAACCCAAAGAAAAAGGCCAAGTCTAAGTCTGATTTTACAAAAAAATTGAAAACAACTTTAAATGATCCACAAGAATTTAAAAATTTTCTATCAAACCTTGAAAAAGTAAATAGTAATGCTSCTATACTAAGAGTTGTAGAGCCATACAATTTAAAGTTTGTTAATAATGAGTTTCCAAAAAGCCTTGCAAATCTTTATAACGATAAATATTCTATATTAAACTTGGAAGAATTAGTATGTGTAGG